ATTGAAACATTCAAAAATAAAGTTATTTGTATGAAAGCATATAGCTGATTATTGCCATATAATTCACTTAAGTTAATGGAATGTGGTCACAGTTTCATTTGCGGATACGACTGACTGGCCAATATTGACAAGCCTACACCTTGGATAAGATTCCTAAAAGTTTCACACCTACACAGCACACATTACAGACATTGATGCACAAACACAGATATGTATAAAGAATGAATAAACCTTATAAACTCCTTGATTTCGATTAAGCAACTTTAAATATAATATGCATTCTATCACTCGACAGAAAGGTTTTTGCAGGTTTTAATAAAATGTAATTTAATAACAGTCATAAGCATATTTCCAGTACGCTCCTCAGGCTTGCACAGTATCGTCAACTCATCAGAATCTTTGGTAATCCTCGGCAAACTTCGCCACGGCTCATTCGTTTCTTGTTGAGTCCTCGGTAATCCTCGGCAAACTTCGACAGTTGGTTGAACCGGCTCATTCGGTTCTTTTTGAGTTGGACGTGCTACTTCGGCTGTGTGTCCTGCGTCATCAACCCGGAACTGAAGTTCGATTCAGTTCGATTAGTGAACCGGCTCAACTGGTTACTTCCTGAGAACTGGCTCAAAAGAACGATTCGTTCAAAAACCGAACATCACTAGTAACAATATTATCAGCTATCAGGTGGATGGAGGACAATAGACCAATGAATGCGGTAATATGTTCAGATTCATTTTCTGCATTATCAAGCCTTATTAGTGGGAGATCCTCAAGGCAAGACATTTTATAAGAAATTATTTTAAGTTTGTATAGAGTAAATAAGATGGGAATAAAGATGTTTCCTATGTTTGAGTTAAAAGTCTTCGTTTGTGTTCTACTGAAGACACAAAGTCACCTACATCTTGGATGCCCTGGGGGTAAGCAGATAAACATCAAATTTTCATTTTTGGGTGAACTATCCCTTTAATGCTGTGCAAGTATGAGCAATAAAATATACCTAATAGAAATATACTAAAACTGATATATTCAATATTTCTTCCCATAAATGTGCGCATTAAAAAAAGGTGTAAAGTAGGAATTGTTTTGATGCTGCTTCAGTATTGTTCTACTTGGATAGAAGTTGTCCTATTTTTGTTTGTTAATTCATCATAGCTAGCACCAGATAGTCTCGCTCTGTCTGACGCTTTCTGTGAGAGTGTGAAAGGATATGGAGGAGTGTGAGGTGTAAGCTTGCAGGTGCTGGAACCGTATCGTTTGCACACATTCTTGGCTCAGGCCTCTTTTCCTACAGCGACTCAACCCAAGAACATCACTCCCCTGGGATGAGGAAAACAATGGCCCAGCGTTCTCCTCACTCCTCTTCCAGCTCGCTTATGCTGAAAAAGTCACGCAGCAATCGCCAAAACAGACAAACAGGAAAAAAGCATTTATCTTCCTGATTCACCTGTTGCCTTATTTCAGTTTCACTTATTCTTTTTCTTTTTTAAAAATTAAATTAATACTTTTATTTATCAAAGATCCATTCACTATAAATTGATAAAGTGATAAGAAAAAAATGTCACCAGATCAGCATATTAGATTTATTTCTGAAAGATCATTTGACACTGAAGACTGGAGCAATGACTGCTAAAAACTCAGAAGTACACGATGTATTAAATACAAGATATAACTACATATACGGAAGGAGAAATTAATGTAAAAATGTAACAAGTCTCAGTATCTTATGCAACTTTGCTTCTCAAGTAAATGTATATTTTAATAATTAATTTTAAAGATGTTTAGATACTGGAAAACAAGGCAAAAATATAGATTAATAAGACCAGTGGATAGAGAAACAGCAAGACCACTGATTTATTTTTAATAGATTTTAAAGGCATGTAAATCTTAAAGGATGGACTTGTGTTTTAGTGTAATATGCAAAAAAAAAAAAAGTTTGCAATTGAGTTTTATTGCTTAGACATTTAAATTTCTTTTATTTGTGCACCTGTTTTTAAAGATGTTTAGATACTGGAAAACAAGGCAAAAATATAGATTAATAAGACCAGTGGATAGAGAAACAGCAAGACCACTGATTTATTTTTAATAGATTTTAAAGGCATGTAAATCTTAAAGGATGGACTTGTGTTTTAGTGTAATATGCAAAAAAAAAAAAGTTTGCAATTGAGTTTTATTGCTTAGACATTTAAATTTCTTTTATTTGTGCACCTGAGGGGCTGATGCTAAATCTGTTAGAATGTGATGGGGAAAATAGGAAGCTGCATCTCAGCCAAGTCAACATCTGCTGACGGACGTCGATGTCCTGTTCTATAATTAAGGATGTCACTTCTAGATTTACCTCTGTTTGTGTGAGTGGGTGTAAGAAAAAAGATAGAGATAGTAAGTGCAGCTGTGTCTTTTGTGACGGAGGAAAAGTCTGTTTACAGGATATACCATAGATGAAACAAGAGTGTGCAAAGTGGAGAGTGTGAGGGGTCGGGCATGACGCACTCTCTGCCCTCTAAAACAGAAACACACACTCGCATGCAAAAATGTGTTCACATGGCATCTCCTCTGAGACTACAACAAATCTGTAATATTGGTCACCTGGTGCTAAAAACACTACAACTTAACACAGTGCAATAAATATTAGCCAACTTACTTGAGACCTAAAACACTACACACATTTCTAAAGGTTTCCTCAAAAGCATTTGTGTGACTTTGACAGAACAGAAGCCACAATCAGAGGCTCAGATGGCGATAACACTAGTTTTGATACCCGACTCCCTCACACTCCCACAGCCTAATAAATGTCAGTGTTGATGAACTGAGATTCATGCTAAAACCGAGTTTCATGCAACAGTTTATAAACACAAAGTACCATCCAACTAAAGCGGATCCTCTGCAGTGAATGTCCTGTGTCTCACAACATCTCGTGAAGTGAAAAATTGCATGTTCATGAGAAATAAAATTCATCAAGGCGTTTTAAATGTAAACCTTTGTTAATCCATTTTACATAACGCTTTCTCCAGTGAAAACGTCCATCCCCTATTTGTTTACAAATGTTTTGGGCTCAGTTTTCAGCATATTTTCACTATTCATTTAAAGGAACTGAATGTATTAAGGTGTTCAGTGCAAAAAAATCATTTATATTATTTATTCTTGTGACAATTCTTATATTTGTAATTTAAGTTCCTGTTTGCAATGCCTGAACATCTTTCCATAAAGAGAAGATAAAATGGTGCACTTATTCCCTTAACACCTGTTTACATTATGTATTTTATTTAGAATATATAAATCATTAAAATTAAAAACTGAAATAATAATTTGTAGCCTTAAAGTAAAAATTATATTTATTTAAAGACATGCTGAAAATTAAATAAAAAAGTGCTCATATATGTTTGAAACACAAAGTGCAAAAATGTCCCAGCTAAGTGTGTGTTACTATAATCTAACACTACTAATAATGATTGCGCTGAATATAGTTGGACTAAACGTAAAAAGTGTGGGAACATTTTGACGAAACCTAGAAGCAGCAAACGATAATACTGAGGAGCGTACAGAAGGTGCTGTCTGCTTGATAGCAGACATCAAATTTAAACCAACGTTGACATTAAAAGCATGAAAGAAAACTTAAGTTCAGTGCACTAACCAACAATCTTTGCGGCATGAACACACAAATAAGTGAGTTATGTTCACAGAGGAATCAAAACTCACAGCTGGAAGTGAATTAAGGGAGGTAAGGGACTCACGACATCAAAATAGCAAAAATAAAACAGCTTTTTTTTAACACGCATACACACACTTGATACAACAGACACTACCCCCATATACAACACACACTATTGCACAATGTACAAAATTAAATACTCTACACTTTAACTGTACAACAATATCATACACGTCAGTGTTACAAGAATTCACCTGTTTGCTTTTCATAGATTTCTTACCGTTCGTTTAACAAAATGTACACCGATATTTACAGATATAATATTCAGAATCACAATGTACATAAATATACAGTATAGCACTTCGCTCACAAACATTATGGCCTCCAGCACTTCTTGAAAAAGAAAGAGCTGCTTGTACATTTCATCAGCTAAAATATGGCTCAGCGTTTACACTAGAATGAATTTAACTTCAAGAGGTCTCAGAGCTGCCGTTTTCATTGTTTTCAGGGCCAAATGAAAGTGCCGTTGTGTCTGTGCTTCAAAAAGATAAAAATGTGCCACATGATTCCAGATTGTCTAAGACATTTAGTGGATTTATCTCAGTAGTTGAGTCTGATCAGTATCTGTAAAGATTGTAGTGAACGCACGCTATTCGAACAGTGTATTTGCGATTATGTATTAATGAGTTCATGAGATGTACAACTGTAATCTATTACCACTGTCTCTGACCATTATATATAGAGGGGCATGTGCTTATCAGTGTAAATTATATGAGTGATATGATTATTGTTTACCAACCAAAAGAGTCAGAGGAGATTTCCTTTTTTAAAAGCTTGACAGTCCCAGTACCTGTTCACTTTCATTGGTTAGAAAAAAGCGACCAGTATATTATTAAATAAATTCATATTTTATGCTCCATGGAAGCAAGGGAGTCATACGGGTTTGGAACAGCACAAGGTTGAGTAAATGATGCTTTTAGATTAATTGTCCCTTTAAATGATTTTCCCCTTGTTGTTGTGAAATGCAGTGGTTGCTAGGGATACAACAAGGGCCTTATAGAACGTCTTGGAACCCCTCCTCAACACACAAACCCAAGGAGGACTCATTAACATGCAGCCGTGCTGTTTCTGACACAGGTTCCCCTGGGTAACGTGTCTATTTTTACCGCAGCAGCCTTTATGACTGACTCGAAAGCTACAAGCAGCTGGATGATCAAAAGCTTTGCTGTTGTACTCATCGTTTCAATAAGACCCACAACTCCTGTCCTACTCTCCTTCACACGTTCGTCTGCTCTCCAGCACTCTTCAGCTTCCTGAATCTATTCTTACTGGAATAAATACTGAAAATGAACCCCATTCATTAGGACCAGCGTATCTGTTATGAGCACATAAACCATAATAAAAAGGAGAGTATGTTAGGCTTACAGGTTATTAGGCAGTGAGCTTTTAAGGGCAGCAATTCTCAACCACATTAGACAATCTTCACTACTTTTCATTACTATACTTTGGTTCCTCGAGAAAACTGGTCCTCTTCTTCCAGTTCAATGTATGTTACCTTATAAAGACACGTAAGTTGCTTTTCCACATCGGGTTGATTTTCAGCAATCTTTTAAAATCACATTTTAAACAAAATATATGTTTTGGCCTGCTATTGTGTAGTGTACATTTTTTTTAGAGAGTAAAAAGGAAATGCAACAAATATCACACATGAGCTACCGTTCAAAAATTTGGGGTCAGATTTTTTTTTTAAGTCTTTGAAAGTCTCCTATGCTTACCAATGCAGCATTAATCGACAAATACGTGAAAAAACTGTAATATTGTAAAATATTATATATTTTAATGTATTTACTGTCACTTTTGATCTGTTGATCTATTTAATGCTTCCATGCTGAATAAAATAATTTACCCTTAAAAAAAATCTTACTGACCACAGACTTTTGATTGATAGTGTGTGTGTGTATATATATATATATATATATATATATATAATTTCAGTACCATTCCCTATTTGGAGCTTTTTGTCTTCATTATAAATTTAACTTTGAATAATTATATAGACCTAAAATAGTTAGCCTCCACCAAGCATGATAACTTTAAGTAAAAAAAAAAATAATAAAATAGAAGTTAATAGAACAGCAAATGCAATTTCTCCACAGGTGTAGAACTGGGCTTTAAAGTAAAGCTCACAATTGCAGATAATGCCACTCAATTCATAACTATTATTGCCACTGCTGACATGGAAATTAAATATTTGTTCCCATTCAATTAATGTGTAATTTATTAAGATGTAGTTATTGTGCTTGGTGGAGTTTACGTGGCTCAAACCGTACCCCTTATTGCGCCCTGAAATGTCATATCTTGTGCTGTGTGGAAATCATCTCTCATCAGGCAGTCACATTTGTTTCGATCATAAAAAAAGATAAATCCAGTTTCACATAAACAGCCTGAACCTGACACTTATACTGTATGTTTGATACTGCACTGAGTCTACATACGTATGTGCTTTGTGTATGAATACATATATGTCGCCCTCTTGTGCTGAGATGCAGACATGACAGACTGTTGATGTGCAAAGTCTATAACCAAGAACACTTATTAAATGAAGATGTACTTCAGTCAGTAACAGAAATCAAGCTATCAATTCACTCTACTCTCAGGTGGTCTGTATTTAACAGTGACTCTTACATAATATCCACTAGAGGGCTCATTATAAGAAGTGAAAGCTTTAGTTTCTCTGAGCCGTCTCCCTTTATGAGCTCTGAAGATGAGTTTAAATGAAATCCCTTGCATGGCATCTCTTATGCATTTTGTAAGATGTCTGGAGTTCAGCAGCATTGGAAACACCTTAACCTGAGCGTCAACTATTACCTCAGCACTCACTCACAGAGAGGGATGTGCTACCAACCCTATGACCTTGAACGAATCACAGAGACCAATCCTGAAGTTTGGATGTTGGAACCTTGTTTTTACTGTACATTTGATCAAATAAATGCAGCCTTTGTGAGCATGAGACTAATTTGAAAAACATTAAAAATCTTACCAACCCCAAATTTTTGAAATCTGAATTTGGACACTGTATAGATGTAATCGCATATACCGATAATAAAGGGGGGAAACTGACCCACATATGTAGATTAGGGGTATTAATATAAACTAGGGCAATAGGAATAGGATAGGAGCGAGAAAAGGACTAGACAGACTAGTGTGTAACTAACCAGGTCTTGCACCCATGCATTGTATCCCGGAGGGCTGATGGCCATCTCTACCACAGTGGCAAAAATCAGTATGAGCAGACACACTGGAGACACATACTTCCACAGGTAGAAGTAAACACTGTACGGTCTGAAACCAAGCATGTCCTCTAGATCTTGCATGAACCTGATGAACACCGCAAAGCAGGCAAAATTACAGGGCTGATCAATATCAGACACAAGGAAAAAACTAAACTATATTTGAGACTATATTTGGCATTAGTAAGAACAGACAAGGAGGAGATCTGTTTTCAGAGATACAGTCCTATTTTAAGTAGCTCTTTAAGCAAAATGCCAGAGAACTTTACAAGCATAGTATGTGAATTTGCCCACCTTTTAGTGCCATAGATCCAGGCTACAGATACATTCTCCAAGATCACCACAATGGTGAGGGGCAAACCAGCAGAATAGTCATCAAACATGGCAACAAAGTAGTTCCCTGAACGCTGGACAAACAGCAAGCCGCACAAAAAAGCCACAATACAGCAGCCCACTGGGAGAAATATAAGATCATACAGGTTACTCAGTGCCACCTAAAAGTGGCCCAGCATCACCATAATTATATTATGATATACATTGGAAAAAGAAGAATATTGAAGTAAACTCATTTCAGACTAAGAAATGGAAAAAAAATGAAGAAACCAGGAGCTCTCACCTGTGAGGACCTCTTTCCGAATTTTGAATGTATCCAGAATGGGGGTGGTGATGCCAGTCATGGTGCCAATCATGCTGCCCAGGCCCAGGTTTATCAACATGAAGAAAAACATGACAGACCAGAAGGGAGAAGCGGGGAAATGGGTCATGGCCTCGGTGAAGGCAATAAAAGCCAGACCAGTGCCTTGAACAGCCTGATGATAGAGAAAAACATAATTATAAAAAAACTCATTTAAAAATTAATAATAAAACAGCCAAAACTAAAATAAACATTCTAAAATGTAATTTTATTTGTAGTTTTTGATATAGAATATATTGCAAAGATTTAAAATTGTATACCCTGCTTTTATAAATGAAAATACCGCAAGATACCACCAGATGGCCCTGAGAAATGTAACCCCAGTAATTAAATAACCATTTAACACACTAAACACAAAAATATTAAAACTAAAATAAAGTTACAATTATGAAATACCAAAGCTAACAGTCATAGAGTAAAGATGACCAAACTAAACTGAAAGGACAAACTGAAAATAAACTAGAAATCAAAAAGCTATACTAAAAGGAGAGCGTACTTTTGCTCCGATTCCTTTTTCATTCTTAATTTTAGAACCGTACACACAATTTTTGACACCAAAATGGACAGATTAATGAATGTAAAGTTTCTTTTGCCAAAACTAAGCTGAAACTGGGAACATAGACCCTAAAGCTATACTATTTTTTTTGTTTAAAGAAGTGTGTTAAAAAGTTCCCAAATAGCTTGAACAGTATACATTCCATAGCATTATGAATTAGCAAAATAAATTACAATAGATTTTTTTGTCTATTGAGCTTGGTAAAAAAAAAAAACTAAGCCTACTTGTAAGTTTTATCCATGCTAAATGGCTTAGCTGAAACCTGTGAATGAAAGAAGACCGCTCATGGGCTGAACACCTGCCTTATTAAGCTCATCCTCCAGAAGACACGGCTCCAGCCCTAGCTGTGCAAAACTGTCTTCTTTCACAATCTTTATTACACCGTACATCTCGGCATAGTCTGACGAGGTGAGGTGGGAGAAGTTCACGTGAGGGGGGATGAGATCCTGACTCAGCACATTTGAGTTCAAGTAGCCCAGAATCTTTTCAGCATTCCTACAGGAGAACAACACATACATGAGGCTGCTGGATGACCTGCTGGATGGCAGCTTCCACATTTAGATTTAAAGCATTAAGCATAGATAGTATTTTACAATGGAAAGTGTAACTTAATCAGATCACAAAAATGATCCTTTTATGAGAAATTCACAGACATATTAGGAGGTCATACGTACTCCACCACACATTTCTCGTTCATGACGTTGGCTTTGAAACCCAGCACAGCAAACACCACGAGTGTAGCCGATTAATGAATGTAAAGTTTCTTTTGCCAAAACTAAGCTGAAACTGGGAACATAGACCCTAAAGCTATACTATTTTTTTTGTTTAAAGAAGTGTGTTAAAAAGTTCCCAAATAGCTTGAACAGTATACATTCCATAGCATTATGAATTAGCAAAATAAATTACAATAGATTTTTTTGTCTATTGAGCTTGGTAAAAAAAAAAACTAAGCCTACTTGTAAGTTTTATCCATGCTAAATGGCTTAGCTGAAACCTGTGAATGAAAGAAGACCGCTCATGGGCTGAACACCTGCCTTATTGAGCTCATCCTCCAGAAGACACGGCTCCAGCCCTAGCTGTGCAAAACTGTCTTCTTTCACAATCTTTATTACACCGTACATCTCGGCATAGTCTGACGAGGTGAGGTGGGAGAAGTTCACGTGAGGGGGGATGAGATCCTGACTCAGCACATTTGAGTTCAAGTAGCCCAGAATCTTTTCAGCATTCCTACAGGAGAACAACACATACATGAGGCTGCTGGATGACCTGCTGGATGGCAGCTTCCACATTTAGATTTAAAGCATTAAGCATAGATAGTATTTTACAATGGAAAGTGTAACTTAATCCGATCACAAAAATGATCCTTTTATGAGAAATTCACAGACATATTAGGAGGTCATACGTACTCCACCACACATTTCTCGTTCATGACGTTGGCTTTGAAACCCAGCACAGCAAACACCACGAGTGTAGCCAGAATAGAGGTCACGAAGTTTATAACTGAGACCAGCACGGCATCAAAATGGCAGTTGTTGTCTCTCTTATTGTAACTGGAAAAAGCGATGACTCCCCCGAAACCCAGACCAAGAGCAAAGAAGACTTGAGTGGCAGCTTCACGCCACACCTGCGGCTCCAACATGATCTCTAGCTAAAATTAAAGTAATTTAAAAAAAATTACATTTACAGTATTTGATTAAATATTTAAATGAACAGTGCCAAATAAGTGCCAACATAGCTGAAGGCCTTCAATATTTTATGTTTGATTAAGCTAATGGAGTCATTGTTCTTAATGTGAATTTGATTAAATATCCCACCTACACCACAAGAGGGAGTCCAACCACCTGACAGGGCGCAATTTTTAGCCGCATAAATTTTCTCTTTACATTGCTGACGCTTCCATCTTAAAGCTTTGCGTACATCGCATGAAATGTGTCCCTTAGTCTCTAAAAAATAATCTGAATCCTGATAGCCTAAATATCACATGTGTGTTTGAAATCAGCACACATGTACACTTGCCTTACCTTGGGTGTGAACATGTGAGCAATGCCGTCAACTGCTCCTTTAAGAAACATCCCTCTCACCAGGAAGCAAAAGAGCACCACATATGGAAATAGAGAGCTGAAGTACATCACCTGCACAAACACGGTGTAACAATTGTAATTGTGTTTTTGTTAAAATGTTTTATAATGATTTTTGGCATGACCTTGATATTTCTTAGAAAACAATAACGGTGCATAAATGATTTTACTATTATTTATTCCAACAAGACCTAAATTTAGCACATTATAAATATTTTTTTTTGTTCATAAATGTAACACTTTAGGTAAGAAGCCATTCTTTCCTGTTCTTTTTGGTTGATTTAGACCCTGGTGTTACATCTTTGTTGCCAATAAATAAACAAAAAGGTCAAATTATTATTGATTAATTAATTAACTAATAATTAAATGTAAAAATAATTTCAAATAAAATGATTAAATATATATGTATTAAAAAAAAAGAAACTCAAGAGCTGGTCTTACAGAGGCTCTTTTCTAGTTAGATGATCTGAACAGGTGGTGAAGCTCTACTGGCCTGATGAAATTTTGATTTATAGAGAACTGTTTTGTTTGTGTCCTTGTTGTTTAGACACTTTTAAACAGCTGGTAAACAGGTATTTCTCTGTCAAATCTGTGCTTGCTAAAACTGCACCATCATACCTTGCTTCAAGGAGAAAACATATGTTCCACTCTGAGAAAATAATCATAATTGCACATTGTGACTGTGTAATTGTTCGGAGGTGCTTGATAACGCAGCATCTGCAGATTGTGCCTTCAAGCTATCCGAAAATTGATGTTTTTCTCTACTAAGTTGATTCTCATTTCATTATCTCACACAGTAGCAAGTCTGCCTCACCTTCCCAGAAGATTGAATGCCCCTTATTACAGCCAGGCAGACAATTATCCAGGCAGCCAGCAGCGACAGAGTCATCCTCCAGTTCAGACCCCCGCTGTCTGCGATTGTGCTGGTGATGTTCAGGGTCTCGCGGTACCAGAAGTACGTGGTTGCTGAGCTCTTCTCACACTCAGGCTCCACAACTAACCAGATAAAGGAAAACCAGAGGGACAAAATTAAGTCTATTAATATTCCTATATACTACTGACTATTTGATGACTCTGTGGATCAGCTTGTATTTCTTAGGATTTGATTCTGATTCATAAGTCTCCAAAGGTCGAATTCAAAGACAGTTAAATTATCAGGTGGGAAAACCAGCATCCAAAACATAACATATGCACTGCAAAAAATGGCTTATCGTACTTAGTATTTTTCTCTTGTTTCTAGTCAAAATATCAAAATAATTTTTCTAGATAAGCAAAATGACATAAGATATTTAGTCTTGTTTCCAGGGGGAAAAAAACTAAATTAAGTGCATTCTTGATTTTGTCTTGGGGGTGTACTAGAACAGGCTCTCATACTAGGTTGTTCGAAAAACACATTATTTTTCACATTTTACATTATTACAACACCTCTCTCCCCAGTCTGGCATGAACGGCTCGAATAGTTCCTGTATCAAATGAAGGCCCGCCTTCTGAAATACGAAATGTGCTGTGATTGGTTAGCTGGGCCAGTGTGTTTTGTGATTGGCAGCACTCGGCGTCTGGTCGGGAAATGTCATGCCTCTCACCATAGCCGCCTGCACGCTTCAGTGTAAATATTGTGTCAAAATCAAATCAATTTGAGCGCGATTTAAACCCGGATGATTGTAACCACTCTAAGTTCGTCTGCCTTGGGAAAGCTAGCGTGTCTCCGACATATAACACTCGTTGCCTTCTCTAGTGCAGCTCAACCAGGTCTCGTCCCATTCGTCGATATTTGTGATATCACAAATCCCAGAAAATATGCGCTGTAGTCCAAACGAGTCGTTCGTTGTAGTTTTTGAAAAGTGATTTCTGTTAAATAAAATATCTCTTTTTGAAGTGGACTTTGAACTTTGTAGATCTTTTTTTATGCTCAAACAGCAACATTACAGACTAACTAAAGTTGAAAAAGTGAAAAAGCATAATAGGACCCCTTTAAAACAAGTAAAATTATCTGCCAGTGGGGTAAGTAAAATATTCTTAAAACGAGTATTTTACTTACCCCACTGGCAGTATATTGAGCAGAGGATACTGCCAGTTCTATGGGAATCTCCAAATTTTGCTTCTAACAGCACAGTAGAGTATCCAGGAAAGAAGTAAAAAAAAAAAACTGGACCCAAAAAACAGTGCGCACTACCAGTTTTGGGGGTTTTAATCAATACAATTGGCCTGTGCAGCAATTCTTTAAAGTTTGTAATACATAAAGACCACAAACATAAAGAATGCATTTATGCTAGATTATTATGGTTTTGGATTTTATTTGGACATCTGCAGTGTGCTTTGTCCACTTAACTTGCATGTCTACATGTATCTAGTCTAAGTTAGGTTGAGAGTGAGACTGACTGCAGGTCTCAGCCTCTGTCTAGTTCATTTTCTACTTGTTGACCAGGGGACACTGCCACAGGGCATGCTGGGAATTCTAAAACACACAACATGCCCTTGAGTACGAGGCTCATGAAAAACATAGAAAATGTGACAAGGTGCATGATGTGTATAGGGTGGAATATACTTTAAGAAAGACTGCAATGCTACAAGTCACCAAGAGCCACCAATAGTGACGCGTAACAGACTGCAACTTTATCAAGGCCATCTGATGTTGGGCATGAAAACAAAACCCTTTCATTATGTTTGCATGCAATTAATAGATAATACTACACATTTCTACAGCTTTGAGTGTGATGGAAGCAGGAAGCTTCTTGCTGCGCCTCCTTTTATTTCATTAGGCACCAATTGAAATGTTTCACGTAAAACTGCAGAGCACTCACTGGCTTGGCTGCCATTCCTCCTGATAGGACATTCGCTCCAGGGCAGAGGATACTGAAAGGACTGAAAAAAGTAGAAGATGCTCCAGCCGATAATCACATTATAGTATAGACCCACAAAACCACACACCTGCAGAATGAGAGAAAGAAAAAACAGGGCAATGTTAACAACTATAAAATAATTAAAGGGGTAATACTGACTAAAAATTTCTCTCAAGGTCTCATCTAGTCTAAGGCTCATTTTGCCTGACTTTAGACCATTTACTGAACATCTGAGCCATCATGTGCACTGAAAATAGCAATATAGGTGGCAACATCCAATCTAACTGTCTGGCACCTTCTGGGGATCTTCTGTGAATGTTTTATTTACTTATAGCATTGAAATAATAGCTACTTATTAGACAAACAGAAATGATTTAGTTCAGTTTAGTTTATTATTGTTGCATCGTTGGTATTGTTGTGGTTGGTCATTTTACAGTACATGTCAGTCAGAGTAGCTCTTCCTGGCCGTTGTATAAGCAATGATGTGCACCAGACTGTGCTGACAGTCAAAAGTATGGCTCCTGGAGTCTCACCTGATATATGATCAGATGACTTAATGCATAAAATCTGAAGTCTTTTAACTCCTAAAACTCAATAGCATTACTTCATTTATATTGTCCATAAATAGAATTTGAACAGAAGTGAATATGTTCTGTGTGCTGAAATAGCGTGTATGTTCAGGGTTTAGCAACTTGTGCCTGTTAACAGCAAATCTATCCCTTGATTTTTCCCTGCAGTCTGTAACAGGTCAGTAATGGTTCTTTGCGACGTCACACATCCACAGCACGTTGAGTTAGTGAATAATTGAAGCACATTCTTTCTGCTGTAGCTTTGTGGGTATTAATAGCAGTGGCTGCAGTAGAACAGCTACATATAGTCCCTGAGTGTTCCTCCACAGTCATTTGAACTGTGGGGCTCTTTTATTTAAAGGCCCATTGCCTTTGTGTAGAAGGTTAACATAATTAAGGTCGATTTCCAATCTGAAATCAATGAATCCAGCAGTCTCATTCAGACTACATACCAAATACTATATACAATACATAAATATATACATACATACATACACACAGTGGTGTGAAAAAGTGTTGGCCCCCTATATATAATATGTATTTAGCTCATTCTGTTACTAATGAGAAAGCCATTCCCAAGAAACTGCTGATTAAATAGCATTTACACAATATCCAGAATTCCGCACCAGTGCGTTGCTTATGATATATAACCCTCACCTCCAAAAGGCCTTACATACTTGCTGACTTGCTAAAGTATCTCCAAAGTGCAGCTGCTTATACAAGGAAAAGAAACCAGAAAGTCCCGGTGCAGCTGGGGCTGAAACTAAATGTATTAACTGTTCAAACAGAGTGATATTTTCAGATCGAAACCCATCTGATTGTGTGACTGCGCTCATATTAAACTGATCAGAGCACAGAGTCTAGTAATTGATGACTCGGCACAGAATGGCTGATAAGTTAGCACTTTTAGGCTAGTGACTCATCAAAAATAAATGCTTCTGTTAGGGCCTTCAGAACACTGTAATTGGTTATTGGTCTGGAATGCACAGGCTTCTCATTGTATTGTGACCCTTTTTCAACAAAACATTAGCATATGAACTAGAATCTCAAACTGTATCAATCACCAAATCTGAGCTGACGTGCACCAGACACTCACAAGTTGGTTAAAGTCAGCAATTTACAGTAAATGCAACCATTTTCACACACAACTGCTCATTAGACTGCTCATTTCTGTCTTGTTTCAGTCCACTACTTTCACCAGAACATTATTCACTCACCATCAGGCTGGACACTCCAATGCCACCAAGTCGTGGATAAACATAATTCCATACTCCTATGCTTCCTCGACGGATCCTCTGGCCAACCGCCAGCTCCAAGAAGAAGAGTGGGATGCCAATAAGGATGAGAAGGATGAAGTATGGAACAAGGTAGGCACCTGTAAAGAGAGACAGTGACACTTGTAAACACAGAGAGTAATGTCCTTACAACAGTGTCTTTAATGACCAACCAATAGCCCAAGATCAATCAAGCTACTGCACACTAAACTCACTTTATTCTTTCAGAATGTTTTTTTTTTCCTTTCAAAATGCTATTATGCTTTTTTCATACGCATACAAATAGTAAATCGTCTTAAAATATGTTTCTTGCTAATTAAACAGAACACAGTCAAATTTAAATGAGTGATTGTATCTAAAATTTTGATATGACTGTCTGGGATGTTTTCCTCATATTTTCATATATTTACATTAATTTAACTAAAGTAAAACATATAAACGTGTTTTTAGCAACACTATAGTCTCTAAAATTAATGCATATGAAGGTTACGTTTTTATATTTTGTTATGTTTTGGTTTCATTTAGGCCATAGATTGACTTAACTACATGAAACATTATATTGTAAGACGTTAAATCATATAGTGTGGTGTGACAGTTATCAAAAGAGCTTGACAATTGAGTCAAAATACAATATTTAATAAAAAAAATTTAAGATATACAAACCAGCATAAGTATTAATTCATCAACTTTAGTTTTAAGACCATAATTAATTGTCTTAAGATATAATTTTTCTTAGATTAATAGATATATTATAAAGATGTCAAGTACTGGGAGTCTGGGACTGTTTGTCAACTGCAGGGGAAAAGGGAATAAATAGAACAGAACATTAATTCAGGTCAAAATATTGCAAAAGTAGTGTAGCTGACTGGACAGACTTAACTATATTTCCATAACTGCAATATAGTTGGATCACTGGTTATACTTTTCTTTTAATTACATTTTAAGAAAACTTGATTTTACTGAACTAATGATTGGTAATAAATATGACATTTTCCTTTAGAGAAATGTGTATTTAAAGTAATATGATCTGTCACACCATATTTTAAAATATTTATCTCACTGTTTATGATACAATATGGGTTCAAATAAAATCAAATACACTATACTTTCAAGCAGAAGAAGAGCAAGGGCAAAGCTTTATTTTCACACCTGTTTTATATTTTGTTTTCCATAAATTTTCTTGATAAATTTCAAGCACCCAGATGCAGCAGATGGTATCTGCTATAGGCTAATGACAGTCAGACAACAGAATAAAACAGCAAGTCATGCTGCCGAACCCTGACGTCAAATCAGCTCCATGGTGACGAAGAGTTTGGTCTGAGCAGAGCAGCCTCTATTTGAAGTCTTCATCTTAAATTAAAAAAAAAAAAACTTTGTCTTTCTCTTTATTTATTCCTTCCCTTTCTAGCTTGTACTTATTTGAACAATGCCTAAAACTTGGTATTACAAGCACTTCCTGTGTCTGTTTGCTTCTTTAAAAAGAATCGCTTAATGTATTCCCCAACTGCGAGTCGCTTTGGATTAAAAGCGTTTGCAAAATGACTAAATGTAAATGTAATGTAAGTCAAAGAACAATCTGAAAATAACTGCTTCTGTAGACATGGAGAGCACAGTGCTGGCGGATGACCACAAACCCATCCTCTTGGGAGACTCTAAGTGTAATTAGAGCCATGGATGAACACAGCACTGCCCTCCCTCTGCCTCTGTTTATGACGACGGACTGCTTGTTATCAGTTTGATTACAGCATTTCTTCGTGTTTGATGTTGCTTTGTTGAGGCTTTTTGTCTGGGCTTTATTTATGCATACGACTAATGAAAAGGAAACAGCAGGTCTTGCATAGAAAAGAGGAGACGGGATGAAAGAGAAAGGAATGGACAGACAGATGGGAGGAAGAAGATGGAGAGAGCAAGGGTGCGTAACGGAAACAAGGCCTTCTGGAAAACATTTATAATTGCTAGACAAGCAAGGACAAGATAGGATGATATAACTAAGGTGTCAGGTTTCACTTTCAGATAACATTAAAATGTCTAATACTTATGTACATCTTTTTTAGAAGCTTGTTTCAAAAATGTTTTTTGCAATTTGATGCTATTTTCATTATAAATCAATATAAATATATATTTTTTTAAATTGTATGTGTGTTTATATATATATATATATATATATATATATATTTGTTTTTCAGTAACTACTGTAATTCTAAATGATCTTATCAATCTTATCAATTATGAAAAATGTGAAGATATTTTACCTCATGGTAATTTTTTTACAAAATATAGTATGTTTTTTGCTTTGAGTCATTGATTTCTGAAACAAACCATTAATTCATTAATTTCCGTTACCTGAAATAATTTTACACCACATTTCTGACCAGAGACTGTGAAACAGCATGAAATAGTAAATTTTACATTAAAGTAGCATATAAACAATGAATAATAGTCCATGCAGCCAAGGAGCAATTACAGCAAGAAGATTAAACACACACTGGTACCGTGTTCACCTTAATACATTTAGAGTGACCACAGCACACAAGGCATTCAACTGACCCATAAAAGCCTGTCTCAGGTGGAAATTATACAGAGCTTAAGATAATAATAAAGAAGAGTGAGAATGTTAAAGGGATAGATCACACAAAAATGTAAATGAAAAATATAATGTACTCATTCTCATGCCATTCCAAACAAGCATGACTTTGTCTTTATGGAACACAAAATGTTTAAAAAAAAAAAAAACTTGCCCACTGTTTTCTATATAATGAAAGCAAATAAGGACTGGGGCTATCAAGCTCCAAAAAGACAAAAAATACACCACTATATTACAAGTCTATAAAAAATAAATAAATAACCAGACCAGAATTTACGTTATTCACTATACATTTTGACATCTCTCCTAGCTCTTGTTCACAAGAGAAGTAGTAGCCATGTCTAATTTGTGCATGATTCAATGATTTAATGTTCATAAATCAGACTGATCCAGTTTTAGAGCACTGATTAAATGATCCGGTCACAATGGTTAACAGCTCAATGGAGGTGAAAATTATCAGAGAATATAGTGGTGTGAAAAAGTGTTGGCCCCCTTCCTGATTTCTTTTTGTTTTTGCATGTTTGTCACACTTTAATGTTTCAGATCATCAAACAAATTTAAATATATTAGTCAAAGATAACACAAGTAAACACAACATGCAGTTTTTAAATGAAGGTTTTTATTATTAAGGGAAAACAAAATCCATTCTGGTTGTCACAAAAAGCTAAATGGCTTCAGAAGACTTGATAAATTGTTGTAAAGAAAACATGCAGTTGTGGAATACACAATATGTGTGGGCACCGCTGCTGAAATCAACCTCTCACTTATCTTTATGAATGCACATATGTTTTGGATGTGTCATCCTAGGAACTTTAGAATCAAACACTTTTTCCTTGTTTTTTTCCTTATGAAGGAACTAAATGCATCAACATGTTAACTATAAAAACAAACAAATAAATAAAATACTTGGGAGGACATTACATTTTTTTAAATTTCTGGTTCATTGTCTATTGTCAGTAGTGTAGCAATGTATGAAGCACTACTCACACAGAAGTCACTTTCAAACCAAGCAGCTTTCTGTTGGTCAGTGCACCAACTTAAATACAATCTGTGTGGGGAATTTTCTTTTGGCATGAAACCCCTGATTATGCAGCTTCCTGTTGGAATGACTTTATTTTACGTGCAATTTTTCACAGAGCAATTGTGATTGTACCTTTAGTTATAGATTTAGTTTTTACCAGACCCTAAAAGGCTGGTGTCATACTAAAGCCAAAATGTATTGCCTGGTTTTTCAGTGCAACATTGCTTAAGTTGTAAATTAGCACTCAGAAAAACTTAATTATCAGCTGGCTTTTGATTTATTAAATACTAAACCCACTGATTTTTGGTTTAGTGTTCAATAGAATTCAATTAGTGTTCAATAGAATAAATCTGTGCAAAGCACTACCTGACAAAAAATGTTGAATACAAAACCTTTAGGATACTTTTTAGTGCTTTTTTGAAGCTTGAAAAGTCTTGTTCCCATTCATTATAACTGCATGGAAAAGAGTGACCAGTGCTTTAACATTTCTCCTTTTGTGTACTATAGAAGAAATGGAGGTTGAATAGATAATGACAGAAACATAATTTTTTTGGTGAACTCTCCATTAACCTCAAATCAGTTCCAAATGCACATCACTAATAAGTAACTCACCTCCTCCATTCTTCTGGCAAAGATAAGGGAAACGCCACACGTTACCCAGCCCCACTGAGAAGCCCACCTGGGCCAGGATGTACTGCAGCTTACTGTTCCAGGCAGGGCGACCGTCTTCTAGGTCAGGGGAGATATCTGGCTTGCCTATGGGCGGAGGGCCCCCTCCTGCCATGTTCATGCTCATCTGACTGCTCTTGTAGTCCATGGGAGCCTCCAGTGCCAGGAGGTCAGCCACAGACTCCGTGACATGCTCATTACTGAGCTCGCGCTGAGTCACTTTACTGCTCTTGGGCATGGTTGTGCCCTGTCGTGCTGATCCTAACAATTAAAGGTGTGAAAGGAGAGCCGGGCAGAATGGAGGTCACAAAAACTGCCCCTTTGGCTTGATACAGGTGTGGACAATAAAGCTTTGTGTTCCTGTGAAAAGAACATAAAAATTAAAACAATATGACTGAGGGTCATTATATACAGTATCATCCAAAAACTCAAACATTTGTGTTACATTTAACAAAATATATATATATATTTTTTTTTTATTGTCTTTGTTGTTGAAATTTATAACCCATTCTTAATATTATAAAATGTATTAAAACTTAAAATTGCATTTGGTTTTTGGCTTTGGACTACAGCCTTAATTGCAATCGAAGCTAAGACCCTCCGCATAGTAGTTTTGAACAGCATAGGCCTACTAATATTTATTAACCATGGTACAATATTATCTTTTTGCGAATTTTACAATTACATTCATTAATGTAAAATACAATAAAAACAGTGATATTGTGAAATGTTATTACAGTTTAAAATAACTGTTTTCTATATTTTAAAATGTATTTGTTATAATTATTCCTGTTATGGCAAAGCTAAATTTCTTCAGTGTTACATTATTCTTCAGAAATCATTCTAATATGCTGAGTTGATTCAAGAAACATTTCTTATTATTATCATGTTTTTATTATATTAAACATAGTTGTCCTGCATAATATTTTTGTGGAAAGTCATCCTTCTTTTCTTTGATGATTAGATTTTTGGTGAATATAAATTTCACAAGAACAGCATTTATTTGAAATAGAAATATTTTGTAACATAAATGTCTTTTCTGTCACTTTTGACCATATTAATGAAATAAACAAAAAATCAATCTTTTTTTTTTTTCAAAAATAAAACTGACCTCAAACTTTTGAATGGCAGTATATGTAAATACAAATCATTCTGCAGTTGATCTATAAATCAAATCAATATTAGATGATTAATAAAAGCCATTTGCACTTTGTGTGGCAGAGTAATCATCAAAGCTCAAGCTCACATAAAATGTTTTTATTTATAAATTAATAAATAAATTAGAAGACAATAAGTTAATTAGAATACAATATGCAAGTAAAATGTGGAGAAAGTTGCAGAATTGTATAGAGTTCAGGGTTTGCATTTGTTGTGCATTTTGATGCAGTTGTGGAATACACAATGTGTGTGGGCACTGCTGCTGAAATCAACCTCTCACTTGTCTTTATATGCGAATATATTCTGCTACATGTGCCATCCAATTGAAATTCCAAACCCAACGCAGTATTTTGTACACAGTACTTTCTTCCTTAAAAAGGAAGTAAATCCATCAACATGTTTACTTAAAAAAAATTTAACAGTGCAACATTGCAGTAAAGTGTTAAAGGGTGATTATCAGGAGCCCATTGGAAGGAATGTTAGTTTAGTGTTCAAATAATGGATAGAATCTGTGCAAAACACAGCCTGAGATTAAAAAAAAAGAGGCAGCCACTGACTACCTTTTAATCTAGACCATAGGGCCTCTTTTTGAGATAAATATGGGAGAAGTGATGCATGAGCTGAGATGTTTATCTCCTGAATGAATAGGAAATGCGGCAACAAAGCTGCCATCTTTGCTCTTCCCACCTTTATCTTTTGTAATGAGAAGCAGCCTGAGGCACTGAAAAAAAATCTCAAAAACAAGAGGACACAAAACGTTGATGTGTTGCTAGGTGATGCCCACCCACCGCCCATGACAACCTACTAACCGTATTCCAAAAAGGCTCATATCTGCCCCGGGGAACCATATGGGCAGGAATCCAGCTACTTTTAAGAGCAGACATCACCACGGTTTGAAATAATAGCATGTGCATTGTTTTTGTTACATGGTCAGTGATGCTAGACCATCAGAGGACCATCACATGCTGAGTTTGAACTTTTGCACCCACTGTGAAATTTTGCACAATGTTCAGGTCCAAAACAGCCTGTCCAGGCAGCAGGCCAGTCAGTTCTACGTCATTATTATGGAAGGGATTATATTTCAGTAGGAAGCGAACTCGACTTGAAGAATGCTGCTCACACTGTGCTTAATCTCATTTTGCTGTGCATTAAACACAAGGGCGCTGATCACTCATAATAAAGTTAATGTGCTTGGTCAGATGATGCTGAGGAATTCAACAAACACACCCAAACCTAAACTCTCCCTGATGGTGATTCATTTTTTACCATTTTGTCCAAGAATATAAAATGTGGTGCCAATCAGAGCCTTAGTAACAATGGTCTGTATAGCTAAATATCCTGTTCATTCCACTGCATGTTATAATGTGAAATGCACATATTTTATCTGACTGGGTTGCTAGGCAATAGAGCTTGATGAAATTCTCACATCTCTGCTTCCTGTGAACCCAAATGCTCTCTGTATCAGAACAGTAAGTGACAGCTCATCTATCCAGTGCTTGAGAGGATACATGAACCAAATTTAGTCAAATCCTTGAAATACACAGAATGGTTCAGAAGAACCCGATTTCATATTCAGCGAGCAATCGCTGAATATCAAAAAAGAACACACACTGATATGATACAGGGATGAAGGCAAGTGCATGTTGTGACTGCAGCAAATGAATCATAGGAATTGCGAGGACAGCCATGTGTAAGACTGTAATGTCAAGCTCTCATTTTCTAGAAGAGTAGTACAGTATTTTATAAAGATTCTTACTACAATAATTGTACTACAATAGTGTACATTTTGTAAACAGATAATGAAGGTTTTAGCTCCTACAATGCTAGAACAGAATGTTAAGGAAAAACAAACCAGTGGCAGAGATAATAAATATATTAGCCTCTTTGGGTAGTTGACAAAAAAAAAAGACATTTGGGGAATTAACAAGTCCTTTGGTGTATTCCATCTAAAGCTATTTAAATCTATTGACAGTACGCTGCTAATTCTTTTATATATTATACCTCTCAAATTAATGTGTATTCATTTTAAATGTATGTACAGGCCTTCAACTGTGCTTTTAAATGTATCCATAATGACCAAAGTTGAATTTCAAGAGCATGAAAATGAAAAGATGAGAATCTGGGTTTTTCCTTTTGAGTGTTCTGTTGGCTGTTGAAGTTTATAACTCAAGCTGAAATATTATTATGATTTATTAAAGCTTATCTTATGATTCCATTTGGTTTTTGGCTTTGCACTAGCCTACAGCATTCATTTCATGAGAAACATATCTATTTGTTGTAATGTTTTTCTAACCATCTAAAGCAGTGTCAAACAGTATAGGATTGTGGCAGCCTACAATATTATCAATTTTACAAATACATGAATTCATTTAGTAAACGTTCTTATACAAAACGACACATGGTCACTGAAAGCAATCCTTGAGAAGTAACAATAGTGTACTATATACTGTTTAAAAATCTGTTTGAAAACGCTGTTAAAATATAGGCTTATAACGAATAGAAGTAATAATTTCTTGAAAAAAAATCTTGCTGACCCCAAACATAGGCCTAGGCCTATATATATATATATATAAAACGTTTCCATAATGACAAAAGTTGCATTACAAGTTACCAGAAGTAACCATAGCAACAGAGCTATCTTGATCAGTCTCCGACCTACAACAACAAAACATAACTCCTGTCATTATTAATCACTCTACAGTTGATTAATTATATCACAAGGGAAAACCTGTGGTGTTTTGTTTAACACGTTTTAAAGATGACTGTTCACTGACAAAAGACAATTTGATTGTGTTAAACAAAGCTCAACCTATTGGGTGTGGAAATTATTAGTCGACCCCCTTGAAGGTCAGTGAAGGAGCAGGACAAACTGCATCAACCCATTTACAGTTTGGGTAGTTTTGATACAAAATTCCATACTTTAACATTTTTCACAATTTTACCTTTATATTCACTTTCAAACATCATGATTTTACTTCATACATAAATGAAAAAAGTAATGTAATAAAATAAATCGCGTGCATCTTTTCAGTTGGGAGTAACTCCTCGACAGCTCAAGCTCAAGCTTCACCTGAGGATGCGCCTGACTGCGGTCACGGACAACGATAGCATTCACCTATACCCTCCCACATTCACGGAGCTTTCAACAATAATCGACACGAGCAATACGCTTACGATAGTTTAAAAACACAAACACGTGGACCACACGGGGCTTAATGTTGTCATGTATGTAAAGGGGACACGCGTCGTGCAGCATCCTCAAGGTCAAATATTTGTGTCAGGTTGACCTAAAACTGTCGCGCCTCTGATAACACGAGAAACCTCGTGAATAACAAACAACTGACCAGTAATTGCTGCTGTGAATTATCGACATGAACTACGTGCAGCGTGATAAAACGCTTCGTACATGAGTGGGATACCAATGGCACAACGCAATCATCGATGAAAAACTACGACGGGTACTAAATGAAGCGAATCCAAGATCACTCACCTAACTGGATGTCGAAGAGTGAGAAGCTGATGCCAGTGTGTTCGTGTAGGTGTCAAGGAGTGATAATAGCCTGAAGAATCAGTTTGGTGGCTCTCATAGAATGATTCCTCGTTGTTGAGACACTTGATGTGCCGATGCGCAGAGGAGTGAGTGCGCCGCCTGACGCAAAGCCCACCGCGCGCTATTATCTCTATCAGCCCAAAATAGTAATTTTGGGGTCACGCTGACACATCCGTGGGCGTTGTCCGCGACAGCCCTTCTAACCAACCCACTCCTTGATTTGTCCTCCAGTGGTTCAAATTCAAAGCGCAACTTATTTCTCTTTACACTATTGGCAGAGCGCAAATGACTATAGGTGTACGCATGAGTCACGAACGCGCTCATTTGCGCATCCCATCCCGTCCAAATTCTGATGAAATACCTTTAGGCGATTGCAAAGTAAATTCTTACCTATTACCTTTCAAATGCACAATGCTGTCCAGATCTGTCCAAAGGGGTCAAGTTATATCTTATTTAGTTCTAGATTGATTTATTTAGTCATTTAATAAAATTTAAATAAATAACTAATACAAATCAAACGACAGCAGTTTATTTGTAATCCTAAAAAATAACACTGCCAAACTTACATGCTAAAAAACAACAACTTACTTACACACAGTAAGAAATGGTTATAATGGTTACAAGTAATAGGAAAGAGGAGAAATAAAAAGCGATACTTAGATAAGGTTGCTTCCCACATTTTTAATCAATACACTCCACTATGAACCCATCAAAGCAGTGAGAGATGACATTAGCTAAAATCTGGAGCTCTGTTGATGCTTTTTTTTTCTGCTATCAGAAAGGCCTTTTCTTCACACATGCGGATGAGTCTGATTGTGTCTAGCTCATTCTTCTTCCTGACATGTGAGGATTTATACTGTCCTTGGTTCTGGCTGGTCTGGCTCAATTTCTTTTCAATTTTCTTTTCAGTTTCTTTTCAATTTTGCTGCCTGAATTGAGATGGATATCGCAGATGGCTGATTAATGTCTTCTTCAGCAGGTGTTTTTAAAAGCCATCCCATTAATCACATGTCTGCATTACTGTAAACATAAAGAGTGATTTAGAATGCATCCGTTTAAGTGAACAGAATATTTTGTCTGAGATCATTTTCAGATTTGCTTCCTAATGAATTATAGTTGCCTAATGCAATTATTCAACTAATCACAATTCAATGCAAAACTCAGCTTTTACCCCATGGGAAGATCATGGAGAGACGTTCTTAGCCCTTGTTTAACAGAGACCAATCTCTGAATGTTTAGTCCCCTGGGTCGGAGATCAGTCCCCATACAGAGCTGATCGTCTGCAGCTACTGTTTTGAGCCTGGAACAACAAACAGGTAACACACAAGCCGGATATGTGTTTGTTTATGTGTGTGTGAGTGTGTGTTTGACTCACATCAGCAGATGTGGCCCAGAGAAGTGAAAGTCTAACACCAAAGGGACTTTGTAAAGGCTGGATACATTTGTAGAAACACCATCTGTGTTTTCATAGTGCTAAATGTTCAGAACATAACAGAATTGACTTTTTCCACACTATCTGCACTGATGAGAATTTTCCGCACTACTTTTATTGGAATATCTGCTAAATTAATCATTAAAAATGACTGCGCATTTACTGAACGCTGAAAGCATGATTAATAAATTCACTACAGATATAAAAAAGAATCACTTTGTATCCGAAAGAATTTAAGCAAATATGTAATTCATGGAATATAAATGAACTTGGAAAATTTACAAAGCTTGAAAGATTTGAGTTGTAGAAAATGTTTCAGTTAAACAAAATATTTTACATTTCAGAATAAATTGGGTGTACTGCAATTAATTTATTGTAAAGGTTATGAATTAAGACTTTGTTCCTGAATAAAGTCTTGTTAACTAAACTGATAGAAGATATAGTGATGAACAATATAAATATTGAAAGCCAATCAGAATCCATCCTGTTTTAAAGAGAACAAGCATTTAAAGTGAGAGACGACAAAGCACGCTGCACACTTATAATAAACAGAATGATATTGTGAGTTGGTGTGGATGCTAATATAGTTATAGCTATCTTTATAGTTATTATTACTGGTGTGAACGGGCCTTAAAATGAATTAAAATCACTGAAAATGGCCTGCATATTACAGGTGCATCTCAATAAATTAGAATGTCGTGGAAAAGTTCATTTCAGTAATTCAACTCAAATTGTGAAACTTGTGTATTAAATCAATTCAATGCACACAGACTGAAGTAGTTTAAGTCTTTGGTTCTTTTAATTGTGATGATTTTGGCTCACATTTAACAAAAACCCACCAATTCACTATCTCAACAAATTAGAATACTTCATAAGACCAATTAAAAAAAACATTTTTAGTGAATTGTTGGCCTTCTGGAAAGTATGTTCATTTACTGTACATGTACTCAATACTTGGTAGGGGCTCCTTTTGCTTTAATTACTGCCTCAATTCGGCGTGGCATGGAGGTGATCAGTTTGTGGCACTGCTGAGGTGGTATGGAAGCCCAGGTTTCTTTGACAGTGGCCTTCAGCTCATCTGCTTTTTTTGGTCTATTGTTTCTCATTTTCCTCTTGACAATACCCCATATAGAATCTTCAAATTCAGGTCTGGTGAGTTTGCTGGCCAGTCAAGCACACCAACACCAGGGTCATTTAACCAACTTTTTTGGTGTGGGTCTTGTCATAACCCACGTGACTACTATCAGATGTATGCATCCTCTAGGTAAACGCTAGTAAGGCACAATGAGGATTTGAGCATCTCCCTTTCCACAGATGTCTAAGACATTGGGATGCTGCATGCAGACGTGCACAGACACAGCTAAAAATAGGACTGAAGGATCCAGCAATTCCTGTGTTAAAGCCTGTAGCTCTGGGCACGCTGGGGCATCCTCAGCCCTGCAGCGTGTGTGTGTGTGTGAATCACAAGGCTCAGTGTGCCATGTGTGATGGTGCACAGAGAGCTTCTTACCCTTCTCATGTGACTCACCTCGCTAGGGCCCACTGCTGGGATCTGTTGCTATGACAACAGCAGATCATATGATTCTGACTCATTCCCTGTGTGTGTACTTGGAATTATGTTCTGGTGGCATGAATGGGGCATGGTGGCACACACATGTCAGATTATGGTAAAAGGGATGCCTAGCTGCTTGCCTTCTGAAATCACATCAGAATTACAATCAGCAAGAGCTTTATTGGCAAGTGTGCTTACACACACAATAAATTTGTCTTGGTGACAGAAGCTTCCAGTACAAGTGACAAGACAGATAACAAAAATAAAAATACTGAGTAAAAATAAATATGTAAAAACAAAAAGACAAAGACACAGTAAACAGTATATTGTATGTACAGATGAGCTATATACAGTGGGTACGGAAAGTATTCAGACCCCCTTAAATTTTTCACTCTTTGTTAACGCACGTGTCACCTGACCTAAGACTTCTACTTCACACAAACACTGTACACATCATTAGCCACAGCACCAGTGTTTTATTCACCCATAACAGTAAAATCCCTGCTGGTACTAGAATAAAACTTCAAAATAAAATAAAACAAGATTATCAAATTTAAAACACAACAATAATAAAACAATAATCAGACCAATGATCAAGGAGTATTGAATGCTAGAGAGAATAGGTATGTCTTTAGAGCAGATTTAAAAGCAGAAATAGAAGTAGCTGTAGACAGGAAAGGGAAGACACTGAAATAAAGTGAATTACAATAATCTAAACAAGTTGTTACAATAGCATGATTCAATGTTTGGAAGTTACTCTGTGATAAAAAGGGTTTCATTTTAGAAAAATGAAAAAAGCATGATTTTACAACAGTACTGATCTGTTTGTCAAATTTTAAGTTATTCACTTTTTAAGTCCAGATTTCTAGCGCAATGAGTTTCATATGGGGTCAGAGAGCCACAGTGAACATCTAACACACAATTTTCCTTAGGCCCAAATATAATTATTTCTGTTTTAAAGGTAGCATGTGTAGGGTGAACAATACAGGCCTAAGGATTGATCCCTGTGGAACTCCACAATTAAGAGGTATACTAGGAGGTCTGATGACCAATACGAACACTAAAACATCTGTTGGTCAGGACCAACTATGTCCATGATTTGTCTAAATAAAAGAGGTGGAATAATATCCCGAGGGCAGATATTATAACATTAATATGGAGGACTATGAATATGTTGCATATACTGTACAAATATATCAAATATGGGTTACACTTTATTTTATAGGGTCTTTGTTACAGTGCAATTGAACATTTAAGTACTAAGTAATATTATTTAACTATATGGTTAGAATGAGGGTTTGGTTTAGGGTTAGTTGCATGTAATTATGCATAATTTATTGTTATTACTACATGTAACAGTACGTGTAACAAGGACAACATAAAATAAAGATACTTCTGAGTTTCTGCATCTTAAATCTTTTGGACCAGAGTTGTTATTGTTAACTGAAACTAAATAAGCTTAAGTTGAAGTGCTAAAATACTAAAACTAAAGCTGAAATAAAACATGAAATCTTATTAAGTTTGCAATCTTTTGAACTGCACAGAACAGAGTTGTTATGGTTAACTGAAACTAAAACTATAATTTTTTTTTAACTGAAATGAAAGTAAAATTTAAGAACCTGAACTGAAACAAAAAAAAACTTAAATGAAAATGAGAAATTTTCCTTGGCATCTAACTGAAACAAAATAAGTTCAAGTTGATGTTACTAAAACTAAAATAAAATAAATTAAAGCTACTGTAAATAGAGATATTAAAAACAATACTAAAAATGGCAAAATCACATCTAATGAAAACTGAAAATATAAATAAAATAAAGGCAAAATCAAAATATTAGTACCTAAATATTAGTAACACCCTAACAGTATATAAATATTACAAAATAAAACTCTAGCATGGACAGAATACATTTAGCTAAAGTAAGAGTATAACATCAGTATAAGAACAGTTCCTCTGCCATTCTTACCATACTGTGAGGCTGTAACAGTGGTCCCAGAGAGAGGCTTTAATTATTGAGAACTTGCTGGCATCACTGTGACCTTGAGTGAAATGCATTTGTGTGAATGCTCTCCACTGGCGCACACATGCTAGCCTGATGCAGAAAGCTCCATTCAATTCAAGAAAAAGGAAATGAAGAAAAATTTAACATTTTTAATGAGTCTTCTAAACACTGCACTATAAAGTCTGCCACTCAGATGTCCATGAATTCCACATCCAGCCTCTGAGT